GGTTGAGAACGCTTAATTACATGTATTTCATAATACTTGTTTCAGATTTGGGATTTTTATTGTTTGTGTGTTTGTGCCTTTGTGTGTTTGTTTCTTCGTTGGTTTGCTTATTTGTTTGTTGTTGCTGTTGTTGTTGTCCTCGTCGTTGTTGGTTTCTTTTCTTTTTTTTTTCTTTTTTTCTGCCTTTATTATATAAAAGACCCGAGGCCATGATAGTGCCCTATCTGGGATACTATAAATCACGTCTATGACCATGAGCCCGTTAAACATCCTCTGTATCTTTGTACGAACCTAGTGCTTGTGGTGTTGCTGTTGTTAGTCACTTCATTGTCACACGCACACGAGTTCGATTCCGGAGTGGAAAGACAAAATTTATCGAGTATCTCGGTCTTTCTGATGGGATTTTATTATCCCCTCTCAGCCCAGGTGGGCGCGGACAGGTAGGCTCGGACAGCCCGCCTCTTAAATGATCTAAATGTGTGTCGATGGAGGGTAAACACACCTTCTGTGGGTGGTTGGCGGGTGCTCTGGTGTGGTTTGCTTCTTCTTTCTTATCAAAGATATATCGTCCTTATCTCCCCTTCTTCTTTTTTATGTTTGTTACTCTCTTGTAACACCTCTAATCTTCTGGCGTTCATACGACCTTATGCAGTTCCAAGTGCCGTAAAACCTCTACTAAAACTAATCTAAAACACACCTACATTTAAATATTATTACCAGCTGGGCGCTCTGTGGGTCAAGGCCCACACACTGGGGATTATATAGCTGGGACAATCTTTTAATGTCTTTTTTAATTTAAGTAATAGCCGTGTTTATTTCCTCACGGTATAGAAAACTATGGTGTCTGTAGGCGATGAATCAAAGCAGTGGTGCACTTGCACCAGTGGCAAGGGAAAATAAATCGAAGAACGAATAAAGAACATGGGGAAAAGACATCATTTGTTCACCATAGTGATATCGTTTTCTACCACTTTTTAAAGACTCATCTCTTCATCCTATTACAGCTCATCCATCAAGCATAATAATTGTAACTCAAAGACACATCAACAAACCAACAAACAGATTCATCTGGATACAGTCCAAACAAAATTCAAAATTTTAATCGGGTATTGTGCATACAAGTGGTTAGTAACAAATCAAGAAACTTATAGTCTTAAAAGTGTTATTCATGGACGAGCTATGTTGGAGAAACAAAAAGAAATGAACAGTTAGTTGCACATTTTCACACTGTACAATACATAGAATCAATATAATTTTCGTTCATCACGGCGTAGTATTCACCCACTTTCTATGTTTCAAGCTTCTTTGAGTCCCCGGAATTTCCCAACACCCCCTACTTTAAGAAATAAAAGGCCTACTTAGTTTTGTTCTTAGGGTCTCCCTACTCAGCCGTTTGGATAATGTGGCATTGGTCAAGGATATTTTTACACAAGTCCATGGCAATCACATATAGACTTGCATTATAATAATATTATTGTCCTACACCGTACAACCTGGCGTATTTTCAGTTCACCATGGAGTGCGCTATTTGGCTCAATTTCAACCAAAATGAAGGATAAAAAGGGAAAGGTGCCGCACGCACTTGACTGCCAGACATGTTTTGCTCTTCATTTTGACATAATGGCATGGCCCATGGCGCACACGCTTCGCAGCAAAGAGCCGCTCTCTCTCTCTCTCTCTCTCTCTCTCTCTCTCTCTCTCTCTCTCTCTCTCTGTCCTGCGCCTTGTTTGTGGGTCAAGTCAAGAGGTCTGCTTTTTAAAACTATCCATTCTGCGGCTATAAATCTATAAAGCAGCACGTTATTTTCCCCTGAATTTGGCCTTTTCGTATTAGGTAGATTTAGCACACTCATTTTCTATTTATATCAAACAGTTTTATCATTTTTTTTATCTTCCAACTTTTGGTTGCGGTGCGTGCAGTTGTGGTTGGTCTCTTCGCTTTCCACTTGAGCTTGATTCTCACACTGGAAGGTGGTCGAGCAAGCGAATATCCGAGTCGTTCTTTTGGGATCCATCAAGTCCCGGGGTAGCTTTAACAAGCAGGATCAAAGCAGCCAGTCTCCGCAGTCATGTATATTGTGTAGATGAAGGGGATGTTAGATATTTGGGTCACGAAGTGGTGGAATCAGGTTCACGTCAATTTTTGGGCATGTAGAGTTATTGGTATCAGCTTAAAACTTTATTTTGGATGGGCAAAAAATCCATTTATCTTGAATACAAGTCGAGATATTTGCGAATGAAGGAGGTGGGGGTCACATGGTTTCAGAGGTTATATCAGTGAGAAAATGGCCGCCAAAGATTAGTTATTTCCTTAGCTTAAAGAGTCTGTGGTAATTGAAAATTTACATTTTGTGTGCCTGTAATCCACGTTTTTCAATTAAAAAATCCACCCAGAAATGTGTTCTTTAGTGGGCATGAAAGGTGTTGAGCCAAAAAACAAAAATTCACAAGAATCCACAAATGTGCAGAAAAATGCCAGTTTCTTCACTTTGATTATTTTGACGAGAGCCTGATTCCACCACGCTGCCTCTCATTAATTTACAACACTACAACATTGATAACAACGACCACCACGGTCACCATAATATCAACAACAGCAACAACAATAAAAACGATGGCGTCAATGATTCCTGGTAAACCTTAGAGACTTGACACTTATATGACCTTATTGTGTTGCAAGTGCCATAAAACCCTTCCTAAAACTAAAAACCTTAGAGAATGGTGCACAGGAACGATACAGCAGCAGCTAATGCCGTCTTCACGACTGTTTTCACGATATGTACAAGAAGCTGTTTAGTGAAAGAGCCTTTGTTTTGGTTGTTCTTGTTCGCCATATTCAGCGTGATATTGATCTGCCGGTTTTGTGTTTGAGAGTCAGCCCTCACATTGTCAAACAGCACGCACCTGTAGTCAACACTCCTAAGGAGTTGCCCAAGAGCACCGTCCTGTTCGCAAGTCCACTGCTCGAAGCGTGCCTCGTTGTTTCCATATCTGTGCCTAAAATCATCACCATGCGTGAAGACAACGATACAGCGATCCAGGACGTCTTTTCCATGACCCGACCTCGTCCAATCCCGAACCACACCAACTTCTTCGTCGGAAAAACGACTCCCGTACTTCAACACGAGAAGAAATGCGTGTATTTCCCCTGAACAATCGTCCAAGGCGTCATTCGTGTAATCGATTGACTTGGCTGTTTCTGTGGAAGGGTCGTAAAACCTCGTGTCTCTCATCCCGGGTGTGTCCACCACAGTCACGGTCAAGTTTCCGACCTGTGCCGAGGCTGAGATGACACGATTGGTGGCGGAAGTGGCGCTGTCTGAGTCGTCGAAGACGTCCCTCCCGATGATGGTATTGCCAGTGGCACTCTTGCCATTGCCGGTCTTCCCGATAAGCATTATGTTCAGATGACGGCCCATGCTGACGTGATGTCTGAGGAAGATAAGTATTTGACAGCAGCTGGTGACAAGCTCTATAACATGCTGCATTACTTCGTTCAGGGCAGGAGGGAGGTATTTGAGACGGCATACATTTCTGTTTAGCTTACCACGGCCCTTATTGCGTGATCTGCGTTCTCAAGCGATGAGAGGGCAACAATAACTTCAAATGTCGACTAAGCAATGGCAAAAATCCCTGCTCAGACAGCGGTGGTGCCATGTATTGGAATACAAGTATTTGTTAATTGTAACCGCCAGTGATAATGCAGTTCTCAAAACTTTATCTCTGCTCTTTCGGAATTGTAAATCGGGGATTTCTTTTCAGTAATACAGTAAAAAGAAACGAGATTACAAATACATATTATTATCTTTACATCCACATCGTAATCATACATAATATGCATTATTCTAATCCCCAGAAAATATCATCATCAACATCACTTTTAATCCCTCCCCCCTCCTACCCCCACTCCCCCACACTCACATACACATACGCACACGTCGAAACGCAAACACAACTTGTCGTTTCATAAATCTAGCCAGACTCACAGAAACATTTTTCAAACATAAATTAAGTGCGATCACTGCACTGCATTTGGTGGTATTACATATTTCATGTGGCCAACATCTGAGACCTAGAGTAAAAATATCTATTAGCTGGTCTTTTCTGATTTGTGTGTCTTGTATCAGATTATACCTCCTCTTTTTAAACCTTTACACTAAGTACTTTCAGTAAATATGTGTCGTTCTATTTTACTGCTGCAGTTATGTATGACACCCTGAGAGTTCTACTCGTTAATAATGTTAGAAGCGTATGCTTCCCATGTTGATAAATTGTTCTGTGCTAAACAACTCTCATGAGGGATCTCGCTGCAGTTTGCTGAGGTAGGATCAGCTTAGCTCTTCCCAGCCTTTTGTGTTGGCGTTGCAGGGCCTTTTTGCACAGTATCCCCGCCAGAGGTGACTTTGTTTACAACTTTCTCAATTTCCCGCAGTTCTCTTTGCCAGGCAGCTCTGTCGTCTTTGTGTGCTCTAGCCATCAGGTGGTGGACGTCATGGTGAACTTTCTCGAGCATTTCTTCCTTCTTCCGTCCGTGTTCCCTCTCGGCGTTGAAAAAGTCTTGCATTATCTTGTCTCGTTGCCTTTCAAAATCTGAAACTCTCTTAGCAACTTTGGCTTCGGACAAAAGTGTCTCACGCCCTACCTTTGTTTCGTTGTAGTCTTTTGTGGTGTACACTCTTGTCATTTTGGAAAGGACTCTCAATAGTTCGTTTTTTTGTTCCTCATCAGTTTCTGGAGTACCCCTAACGTTTTCAAAAAGCAAACAGTTGTTATTGCAACGTTGGATAAGCTTTCCCAGAGCGCCTGTCTGCTTTGACCACCATTCGCTGAACGGTGCGCCTTTGCTTTTCAATCGATAGTCGTCCCCGCGGGTGAAAATTAGAATGACGTGACGTGGGAAAAAATCAGAACCAAATATCGTCTCCAAATTGTGGACCACTGCCTGTTCTTCTTCAGTGTACCGAGCAGCGTACCGAAGGACAATAGCAAATGCGTTGACTCCGTGCCCGCTCAGCTTGATTCCTTTTTCGATGTTACTTATAGCTACTTTGGTTGCTAGAATTTTATCCGTATCACTTGAATCAAAAAGCCCAGGAGAATCTAAGACATTCACGGTAAGGGCGCCATCCCTTGAAGTGAAACTTCCAGCTCTGACGACATCTGTGGTCATATCGTTCGCGATCTGATCCACAGCCTCATCATTTGCCGAAGGTTGTTTTTTCGCAGCGCTAGACCCAGACGTTTCAGGTACCGAAAGGCCTTTCGCTGACTTCTTTCCTTTCATCTTGTCACCGCCGCTTTGTGTGGACGGATCGTGTCCAGGGTTTTGAGCCTGGTAGACAGGTTCATAATCATAGATCATCTCATTGCTCGGACTGCCAACCAAACTGGCAGCTGTTGCCGTCTTCCCGTGTCCAGCAGTTCCAAGCAGCATGAGAGTCACTGCCGGACTTGTCTTTGAGCCAGACATCTGAAACATTCAGAAAGCAAGAAGCTTTATTCATGCATCCTGGTGGCTGGCTAATCAACTTTTCACCTAAATACAACTCTTCTCCTTCTGGGTGTAGGATGTGATTGTTACGGTGTGGAAGTTCAACCTTCTGGGTCCAGTCTCTCCTCTCATTGCGTTACGCTTACGGTAACAATCTTTATACGGGCCATCTTTATAAGCGGAAATCAGTAAACTACGTGAGAGGTAAAACTCTCATGAAATTGAAGATGAATTCCACTTCATTTTTTATTGTTCACATTTTGCCCATCAAAGAGAATTATTAATCCCCCACCTTCAACCAATCCTGAACTCGGCCCAGTGACAGAAATATGCAATATTTGATCCATGAGAAGAGGTATCTGCAACACTTGTTTTATTTTATTAAGGAAACTGTTTTGTTTAATAGCACAACACAAACAAATAATGTTGATATGTAGATCTATGTCATTTATGATTAATGCTGTTGCCGTGGAAGTCCCTCTGTAAAAATGTGTGTTTTATGTGATGTGGGTCGAGTCGATGGCCTTCAACACAGAGTAAACCCTTACTTACTAAGTAGCCTCATTGTATAGTCTCACTTTCTGAGGGGTCAGTTAACTCGATTAGAACGCTGATATTTAAGAAATAGGAATAATAAGTTGTATGTAATAGTAAACATTTTACGCCCAAATCGACACAATTTACATAATTTTGGAACAAGTGGTTTCGACATGGACTGTCAGTAAGAATTAGACTGAGAGGGATGCAGCCTCCCAGCACACAGATTGAGATACTCGATTAAAATAACCTCTCTTACATGGGACTCGAATTCACGCTTCTAACGGGGAAGTGCCTAACTATTACTCTAGAGGTGCTGGAAGTCTAAGGTAAGGGATTGAAGAATGACAATAACAATAAATGTGTGGTCTCGTGTTACGAAATGTCACATGAAAATAGCAATACTGCCGTAAGCAGACAAAACGCGGTTTTTTTTCTCCATTTGGTGCCAAAATTTGAGTTGCTAAATCGAAAGCCTGATCAGGTACCCTACTTGTGCAAAAATATCAAAGTGAAACTGTGACTAGTTTTTTCATTCAAATTTCGGAAGAACTCTATTTTTCGGTGGTTACGCTAACAAAAAAAGATTTTGTTTTTCGAAACTGCTGTGAATAAAAAAAGGAGTTTTGTCAGCTTGCGGCAAAATGGACGTGTTGTCTTTTGTTTAAATAATAATAATAATAATAATAATAATAATTGCATTTATATAGCGCATATCCATGCTCAAGAGCATGCCCTATGCGCTTTACAACTATTATTACCCCAGCAGACCCTCTGAGAACACCCAGAAAAATTCTCCGCTTCCACGGAAGCATACAGTGCAAGCTGCGGATTTCACGGGCTCAAACACTATCACACTGACAAGATCGTTCACTGTCTATAGCCGGGTACCTGTTATCTCTGTGGGCCTAGCCGGGTACCCATTTCCACCTGTGTGAAGTGAGGAAAATTTGTGCAAAATGCCTTTCCCAAGGACACAACGTCTGGCCCCTGACGGGATTCGAACCCACGACCTTACGGTTGCAAGTCCGAGAGCCTAACCACTAGGCCACCGACGCCTAGTTGATTAGATGACAATTAGATGACAATAGCATAGACTTGTCTTATCTCATGCCAATAAATGTCATATGACAATAGCAATAGACGAGTGGTCTCATGGTGAGAAATTTCAGATTGGTAATGGCAGTGGGTTAAATGAGGTGCCATCTAACGTTAAAGAATGTTAGATGACAATAACAATAGCACTAGACAACCGGTCTCACGATGTCGGATGACAATAGCACAGACAACCGGTCTCAAGTTAAGAAATGTCGGATGACAATAACACTAGACAACTGGTCTCACTGTAAGGGGGGGGGAGGGGGGGCTACACCCCCAAAGTCAAAATTCGGCTCAAAATTATGGAATTTGAGTTGTAGGCATTTTTAGCTTTCTCGGCCTCTCCTACAACTATTTCATCGCATAAGAACCCCCAGAAACCGTACTTTTTCGCATACCGGGCATGTTTGTCACCCCCATTTCCTCATAAAGTCAGTATTTTATTTTTCTTTATAGGCCGTTTTCTCAAAACGCGACTTTTCTCTATACTTTTTTGAATAACTCCACAATTTTTCACTCAATCTTCATGAAATATTCACAGAATGAAGAAAAGATGTAATACTAAAAATGCGTCAGTTGAATTTTTGATATATGAAATAAATTTCTGTTGGTGGTGTCTGGAGTGTGGATTTTCAAGAATTTTTTGCAAACTTAAATGCTAGCTCAGGAAAAAATTCATTAAAAATGTTCTAATTCGGTTAGGAAAAAAAAAAACAACAATTTTTAGATCTAATGTTTGTAAACAGGAGAGCAAAAGTACAATCAATTTCCATGTGCGGTAAATGCGGTATTCATTTAAAACATGTCAACAAAATCCAAAATGGCCGCCGTATCCATGGAAAAAAACTTTTTTCTCAAATTTGATTGTGGATTTTACGACTCCTTTTTATGCTTGTTATATTATGTGTGACATTTGGTAAAATTCGGTCCAGTAATAAGCGAGATAGCCTTCAGGTATAGCCCCCCCCCCCCTCCCTCCCCCTTAAGAAATGTCGGATGACAATAGCAAAAAAATCTGCTGTCTAACGTTCAAACAATATAGCTGTTGTCTCACGTTTAGAAATTAATGTCAGATGACAACAAAAGTTGATGGGTGGTCATGATGGATAGACTGGGAGTGGTCATGCTCTCTGGATATCGAGAGTGTCATTGGCCGCTTTACGTGGCCAGATTACATCATCATCATCATCATCATCATCATCATCATCATCATCATCATCATCATCATCATCATCATCAAATGTCAGATCTAAAAACAAGCACCAGCAACCATGGTTCGCAACCAATGTGTCGGCTCAGAGACTCATAAAAAGCCATATTATTATCCTGATCTTTTCCCGTCCCTCTTTAATTATTGAAGTCTTGTGAGTCTTGTTAGTAAATTGCTCGAGGTTTACCTCTGACTGACCGCAGTTACTAGTTAGGCCTAATGTTGAAATATATGTGTGGTGTGTTTGTGTGTGTGTCAGTGAGTTAGTGCGTATGTTGAATATATGTATTGTGCATATTATGTAGTTCGTTTTATAATAATAATAATAATAATAATAATAATAATAATAATAATAATAATAATAATAATAATAATAATAATAATAATAATAATAATAATGATGATAATAATAATAATAATAATAATATAATAGTACTTATAATAATAATAAAAATAATCATCATCATCATAACAATATTAAGAATAATACGATAGTAGAAGAAGAAGAAGAAGAAGAAGAAGAAGAAGAAGAAGAAGAAGAAGAAGAAGAAGAAGAAGAAGAAGAAGAAGAAGAAGAAGAAGAAGAAGATCAGTGATTGATTGGGTTTCAAGGCAAACGACAAAGAGAAATGGTGAGGAGAAAGGAAGTGCATGATAACAATAATAATCATTACATTAGTGGCAACCATCAATTATGGTATGCCCGACAAATAACAGGTGATTAAACTATTAAAACTGTTGAGTTGGAGACTGCAAACTTCTCTGTTTTAACCTACCGTTCAATCCGTTGTACTGGAATGTGTTGACTTTCGGTTGGTCACTCCGGGGATCTCTCTCTCTTTCTCGCTCTCTTTATCCTGCCTGTTTCTCTGCGGTGCGTGGCTATTGTACGCTCTCTGTCTCTATGCGCTGCCTGCTCCAAATATTTTCGGCGCGGAAGGATTTCACCACGCAGGATAAACCTGTAAGTGTAAGCTGTAAGAGGCTAACTTTGGGTTTGCCCCACAGAATTCTACACGCCATGTTTTAGTTTCAATTCCTCACAGCGAATCGGCGATCGCGAAGAGGGAGTTCCGCTTCTATAAGTGTAGAATTCTGTGGTTTGCCCTAAACTCAATCGACGTGTCATAACGTGTCCTTTATGTGCGCAAAGTTTGTACAGCTTATAAGAGGTTACTCAGCCGTGCCTGGAAAACACGGAACTGTTTCTGTTTTCTTTGAAAGCTGTTATATTATAGAAAATGTAATTATGGCTTATTATTTCGCATATTATGCCTAACCCTCCACCCCACCCCACCCCCCTCGCTTTTTTTCATCTACGCCTTTATACTTTATATCATTCTTCTTCCCGGTTGATGCAAAGAAATAGAGGTGTGTGGTGTGCATATGTGTGTGTATGTGTGTGTGTATTTGTGTGTGTGCGTATGTGTGTATGTGTTTATGTGCCTGCGTGTGTGTGTGTGTGTGTGTATGTGTATTCTGAGAGAGTGTTTGCCTGTGCATGCGTGTGTGTGTGTATTTGTGTGTCTACGTGTGTGTGTGTGTGTGTGTGTGTGTGTGTGTGTGTGTTTGCCTTCGCATGCGTGTGTGTATGTGTTTGTCCGTATGCGTGTGTAAATGTGTGTTTGCCTGTGCATGCGCGTGTGTTTGTGTGTGTCTGTGGG